GTAGTAGTAGTAGTAGTAGTAGTAGTAGTAGTAGTAGTAGTAGTAGTAGTAGTAGTAGTAGTAGTAGTAGTATATTCTGCAGCAATAGAAATTATGTCACAAACACACTATATTCTGTAATCATAGAACCAACGTGATGACGTAGACCAGCACATCATAAACGCTAATTCTGTAGCAATTTAACATTCCCCCCCCCCCTCCTTTACCTTCTATAATATAAGTGTACTGACTCCTTTTTCCTACCGTTCTTTCTGCCTTGCTGTCTCAACTTTACGATGTCGACGTGCATCTCTTTACAGAAACAGACAAGGCCTCTGTAATTCAGAGTTCATACAGTCACAAACAGTCACACAGAAACAAAAAGACAAGGCCCCAATAATTCAGAAGATCCTACCTCCAGCAGGAGAGCACAGTCCGCCACGTTCCGGGCTATGGGTCCCACGTGATCTACCGTGGGCTCGATGCTGACCAGTCCAGTGTAAGGCACCAGGCCAAGGGTAGGCTTCAGACCCACACATCCGGTCCAGGCGGCTGGGATCCGGATCGAACCGCCCTGGTCAGCAGCTATAGCCATGTCAACGTCGCCTTCTGCCACCTGATGGTATTTTTGTTTTTAGGTGGGGGTTTTTTTGGGTAAGAGTTTTGACGTTCACAACTGCATATGGCGCGCGGGACACATTGAACATTTTCAGTTGGTAAAAAATTTTGAATTTTGCCCAGATGGCGGCCGAAGCTTACTCCTATTGATTTTAGACAATCAAGGGATCTTTAACGTGCGCAATTTGCACCCGGGACCTCCGACATTTTTCGCCCTTGTCTGAGAAGGCTATTTGTAGATATTTCCTACCAGAAGATCAGGGGTGTGGCTTAAAGACAAAAGTAAGAAGGAGCCAAGGAGCAGCAGTAAAGAAGCTACAGAAAGAGTCAGGAGCCAAGAAGAGGAGGCAATGGAGGTGAGGGGGTGGGGGCAGAAAGTGGAGACGAAAGCAGACGACAGAGCATTGCCAGAGAGCAGGAAATGAGGCGAATGAAAGGGGACAATTTTAAAAAAGAAAAATTTTCCGTCGCTACCCGGATTCGATTTGGGATCTTTGAATGAGAGGCGAACACCTTAACCTTTAGGCCACGAAAGCCCCTGCCACCTGATGATCTTAACATTGACCACTGTATGCTTTCACAAAGATGCAGGAATCACAGCTATTTGTAAACTTTTGTCCTAGGCGATATGAGACACCATCTCGAATGTCTATCTGTCAGACAGACAGACAGACAGACAGACAGACAGACAGACAGACAGACAGACAGACAG